AGAATCCATGCAACTGTTGTCTAAAGAAATGCTTTTCCACATATAGATCCTTGTAGTTTTTGACAATCTTTGTAGCAGGGCATTCTTTTATACAATAGTTAAACTTTTCAAATTTAGGTCATTAAACAACATGTATTCCAAATTCCCAAAATTTTCAAGATTTATCATACTTAACACTTGATATTCCTGAATTAAGCCTGTTTTTTCTACTGCTTGTAATCTTGAGGTCCCTGGGCTCACTTGGCTGGTTCAAAGATAAAAAAATCATTCAATTTTCATATGATTAGATGCCAAATTGTTTCATGAACCAATGGGTAATTGTTTATATATACTATATAGATGATGATGAATTGTTTAATGCTCATTAAAGCTAAATTTTCTGTTTCTGTCACTGTAAGGATAATTTGTGCCTCCACTTGGCTGAGAATTTTCAAGGACAACTGACTAAATGTAATTACTATTCTCTTTGTTGTTTTGCAGAAAGCTTATTTTAGATTTAAATTAAGGAGAAGAATACGTAGAAAAAAGGAGGGCATTGATCCAATAAGATCTGCTTTTGATCAAATGAAGGTTCAAATTTTGGCACATTGTCCTTGAAGTTCTCTACACCATATATAATGCATGATTTTCTAATGAAAATGTTTGCCTGCCTTTATGGTCTGTTAATTTGCAGAGGGTAAAGAACCCACCAATAAGACTAAAGGACTTCGCTAGTGTTGAATCAATGAGAGAAGAAATTAATGAAGTTGTGGCGTTTCTACAAAATCCCAGTGCATTCAGAGAAATGGGTGCTTGTGCACCTCGGGTATGACAGTTTCAGGATGAATTGATGAAGTTCCTTAGCGATGTTGTCTTTTATTTTTGCTTGATCATCTTTATCTATTTTTCACTTGTCATATAATAAATACTGTTCCTTTATAGGTAAATCCCATTTGGTCTTTGCTAAATGACAGGTTGCTAATATCTAAAAAGCTATAAGCAGTATTTTTTTAAGATAAATAGAAAAGAAAATGCATTAAATAAGAAAAGAGATACAAGAGGTGGCAGGTGCCATGGCTTCACTCACAAATACAAAGGGACATATAACAAAACCAAAAAGGAAAGATAAACAAACATATACAATTGCTTTTGCTTCAACTAAGCAAGACTCAAGTCCAAAAATCAGAATCAATTTCTTCTCTCTTAGAATCTTTAAACTCTGCCACTTTGGAAGAATCAGCACCCATCCACCAGCAATAGCAGTACATAATCGTTCCTTCTTCCTCCCGTTGTTATTAAAGGTTCTTCAGTTTCCTTCTTTCCACACCGCCCAACAGACTGCAAAAGGCACACAACTCCACATAATTTTTGCTTTCTTTCTTCCATTAACCCCTGGTCACTTTTCAAAGATCTCCTTAGGTGACTGAGGGTCCCACCCCTCCATGTTGAAGAGATAAAAAAAGAATAACCATATGCAACTGACATAAACATTATTGACCATCAAATGCATCAATCTTCTGATTCCATCTCGCAAAGAACATACCTGTTTTCCAAATAGAAGCCTCTTTTTTTTGATCAATAACACAATTCATTAATTATCACAATAAAATTACAAAGAGGAAGACAAACTTTCTTATCTTCCAAAATTAGCTTGAGCCCCAAGAAAGGAAACAAGAGAGAAAGAGAAAAAGGAAAAAAAGAAAGATTAAATTACATCTGTGCCCAAAGCATTGAAACCTTGTCAACCTCTTGTTTAGCTAACCCATCAGCAAAAGAGTTAGCTGATCTTTTAACCCATCTGATTTTAACTTCCATTTCTCGAAGCAGCCATCTGAATTTCTTCCTCACATTGCTATAACTCCATAAACTACTGTCATCTTTTTTCAGCCAACCTACCACCACCTCCGAATCCCCTTCAATTATGAGTTTCCTGATATCCATCTCCCTAGCTTTCTGGACTCCTACCATAACTGCTTGGATCTCAACTCAGAGAGAGTCACCCACTCCAATTGGGACTGAGAACATGGCAGAAGTAACCCCCATTCTCATCCTTGAAAACACCCCCAATCTTTGAAGGTCCAGGGTTCCCTCTGCTACTTCCATCAAAGTTTAGTTTTATGAAACCCACAGGTGGGGGAGTCCAAGACACACTCATTATTGTTTTAGTTTGGGTACAACTAGCAATCTCACCCTACTTCCTCAGCATATCATCCACTGTATAATCTGTGAATAGCTCTAGGGATTTCATCCACTGTACAACCCTTATATGGATCAGAGCCCTTAGATCTTCAGCACTTCTCTTTGCTTCTGAGAAAATCCTGGAGTTTCTTTCTTCCCATAGAAACCAGCAGACTACTGCCCTCAATCCTCTCCACATAGTTCTTCCCCTGTAGAGAAGATGAGCCGAATGGCCCATAGGCTGTTTATCCTTTTTTATCTTTTATGTTCTTTGCTGTAATGGACCTTAATCTGGGCCTATTCTTTCTTATGTTATGTTTTTTTAATTTTCTACCGAACTAAGGGCTTCTCTGTAAATTACCAAAGTTTAACTTAATAAAATTGAATTAAGGGTGTAAGAGAAGAGATTATGTTTGAAAATCTCTCTCTCTGAACCCAAGTTGCCGCCACCTTCTTCTTCATCTTCTCCCCTCTTGAACTTTGATTTCTACTACTTTCTTTTGATTTTTTGCATCTTTCTAAACAACCCTTTCTTCTCAAAAGGTTGCTTTTCTTCTTGGTATCAGAGTAGGCTCGTTTTTCCCCTTTTTTTCACTTTTTTTCCCATACACAGTATGGAGAACTGAATCGTATGAATAGTTAAAGACACCTTTTTCAGCTCAGTTGTTAGTGGTTTCTAGAGAGAAGAGGACTGAATTTGTCGCCCCCTTGACAGATTCAAGTGTGTTGACCAAAACCCTAATTTTCTGGAGAAATCTGATTTCGGGCCCCATAGGGAGTTTGACCTGGGCGCTCAGTGACTGAAGGCTTTCTCATTCTCCTTCTTGAAGATCGAATCAAGTGGATTGGTGTTCTGTGAAGTTTACAAGGAGCGGCTGAATTTTCTCCGTTTCTCCCAGCTTCCGGGTGATGCAGATTACTGGTACGACTGCATAGAGGTTGGCTCACAACACAATTTTGTTCTGTCTTCATTTGGTGTTTTTCGAAGTTGTTTGAAATCATTTTTGAGGTGTTTAAGAAGATGAACTCCTCAGACATTGAAAACAAGCATGTTGCTGAATC